CTCACGAGAAGCTCTTCTTTCTGTCGAGCCCGGCGGTGGTGGGAAGTTTTGGGCGGTTGGCTCCGGCGACGGTCGGTGAGCACTCGATGGTATACGGGAAGCAGACGTGTTGGCTGGGGGTGTCTCATAATTGGTGGGAGCAGGTCGTTGACTCCGCGGAGGAGAATACGGAGGCGGAGGCGCCGGGGCAGCAACTTTTACTTGAGTAAATACTACGTTTGTACATATATAATTGGCACAAATGCTTACCTGGCTGCGTGTCACGAAAAGCGGGCTGTGGAGGGTATTGGTGTGTCCTCTCGGGACCGACAGCGGGCGACGGAATCCATTCTTGGGGATTATACGGCTGTATCGAGCTGGCTGGTGTTATGCCGCCGAGCATATGCGGCGAGCTCACTGATACAGCGGATCGGGGCGTATTTAGCTGATTGTGAAAACCCAGCGCCGACGTCAGCAATGGATTGAGATTCTGACGAAGTCGCGAGGTAGTATCACGAGCGCTGGTCATTGTTGTTGACAATAGCCGTCGATTTCAACAGCCGTGATCAATTAGACTGGCGGGCCGGATTCGGGCAATGCGAAGGTATGTATCTCAGTCTCGTTCGCGTTTCGACGTATTTTGCGACGTCGCCAGGACAGTCGCGCCTCCTTCTCACAACTCTGCTCGCTCGCCCTATCTTTCGCAATTCCTTTCAACCGCAGCACTAGAGATGAGCGTTGTCGCGAGTCGCGCCCATGGCCCGACAGTCCGTAAAGTCGCAAGTTGAGCGACGACGATCGATGGACGATATGACTTGAAGATGACGAGCGACGTTGACGGTGCTACGGCAAGAGACAGGCTACGCACCGATTGAAGGCAGACCCAGACAATGAAAAAGGAGAGAGCATCGACTGGACGTGACGGTAGTGACAATCACGGGAGTGGGGGATTCTCTAGTCTCTTGGTGTCTTGGCAGATCTCTGATGCATTTAAACCTCCTGCATAAACTGGCGTCGGCGTTGCAGGAAGGCGCCAGTCCGATTCTGGATTAAAGACCGTAAGGAGTGGCGAGAGGTTGGGATCTCCTCCGGGTTACATGCTCTGAGCGATCAGGGCAGAGTTGAATTGCATGGTCCCTCTCGCATGGCGGTCCTCAAACAGGCAGGCCGACTATCTTTGGCCTGTGTGTCTGCAGTTGTTATGCGAAGGCAAGGGACACCTGGTTAAGAATATACTACCTACATGCAAAGCAAATTGTGAAGATTCGATTCTCGTGTGACAGCTCTCTGGGTCGTTCGGCTCCAGTTTCCTGCCCGCCTGATCAGCCGAAATGGGCCCCCGACTTGAACTTGCGGCGGCCAAAAACAGCAAAGTCAGAACAGCTGCTTGACAACTAGGTAGAGGTATTGAAAGGACGCGGGAAGAACTCGACGCCAAGGATCCCGCGGACATGGCAGTTTAGCCCCTGTTAGGCTCTGTGCCGGCGATTGGGCGTCTGGGCAGCGGATGCCAGGCTATATTTGGGCTTCTAAGGCCTGGAACGCGCCTCATTGGCTGGTCTCTGCGGGCCCCGCATGCCCCTTGTCGTGCCTGGCGCTTACACGACAGCAGAGGGTGACCAGAAAAGGTGACGAGCAGAGAGAAAATACCACACCACTGCACCCTCTTTATTAATTATGACCCTTCACTTTTCCGGTTCGAGAGTGGGAGGCTCTACATTTGATTCGCAGCGCACTGCAACTCACCCCAAAATTTCGGTGCTACGAGCCAGAAACCATAGCCGAGGGATCCCAGGCAGGATCGTTATACCGCATGCTGCTAAAGGGGCCAACAACCTGTCAGTCGCATGCAGTCAGACCGCTTGCCGTCCGGGCCGCTGCAGAGTCACCAACCTCTACTAAGATAATCAATAAGTACATTTATAGAGTACTCCGTATTATAAGTGTATATTAAAAACACGCGCTCGTCTCACCACGGATCCACGAGGCTTCCGAAAACAACGTCTTAGACCCCATATCAAGGTCACCCCATTAATCAACGGTGACACGTTCATTCTAAACTTATAGCAAGGTGAAGGCTTCGTTGAGGTTAGATCATACATATGCCTCATTAATATAGAGTATTACAGAGTACAAAGTGTAAAACTAAGTAGCTAGCTATATGCAGTAACTTAAAGCTTGACAGTTCCAGTTGAATGCTACGTACTTCAACCCCGCGAACCAACCAACACCCGATGGTCGGCTACGCTATCTCCTGAGTTAGTGTATACTAGGCTACAGTAGCAGCCCGGTGGGTATGTCCGAAAATAGAAACAAAGTGTGACGAAGGGTAGGTACTTACGTACGCAGTAGTATGTCTATTGGCGGAATCCCTCGCTGCAAAGCGGTCAGGATATCAACCAGGTAATCAGATCATACGTGAGGGCTCGCAGAGCGATGGGATGCCACTCGGGCCACATTCGCCAATTGTACTGTACCCATGCGGCACGATATTCAACTTTAAACATTTATCTACAGCAATGCCAAATGAAGGACGGTATATGCAGAGCTTGTGATAATGCATGGAGTCATGCAGTGCCGAGAGCAAAAAATAGAAACCGAAATGTGGAGGTTATCGGTCTCGTCATGAGCCGACCGCTTGGGTCCGCCTCCGGGTGGATCACCAACAGCACAAGCATGTCGCACACCACATTATGAACCAAATTTCGTGGACTACCCTATCATGGTCATTGCCAGTCCTACTGACCACTAACACTAAGTTTTCAAGCCAACATTATTACCGAACGGCAATGGCTGTCAAAGCAACACATTGAGCAGGGTAAACCTCGTCAACACGGGTTCATTCTGCAGGGTAAATCATAGTGGTACCAGAAGTTTTAAATTTGGTGATGCAGCCGCTCGCGCACAAGGCGCTTAGAGAAGTTAAAAATACGCCTCAACGATGGTACTCTTGTATCTAGTTGGTAAACGAAAACCTCCCAGTGCCACTCCCATACCAGCATGTGCCCAAGTACATTGTGCGAATAGTCGTAAACTGATAATATGTAAAGTCGCAAGCGACTACCAATATTGAAGTGGCTATTATAAGAAGTCGAGACATACAACATGTGCATAACGATAGCGCAAGTGGCCTATCTCTATCTAGCGGGTTTAATAGAGCAATAGGCGAACACAGTCTTTACCAAACGGTGTTGTTTTTAGGCTTCGTGATAGCCTACCGCTTAGCGAATATTAAAGGTTTTCAATAATATCTAACTGAAACAAAGTCGCTGAGCCTGCATATAGATCTTATAATAACCCGTCCGGCTGTGAGATTTTACTTAGAAATAGTGTTAATAACTCTATAGAGGCTACCACGCCAGTTTCTAGAAAGTACTGAGGTGATCTTTAAATCTATTTTTAGGGGTCACCTTCATTGGTTCATAAGTATCCGAATATGTACAAGGCGATGAGGGACGTCAACGGAACAATATTGAATCATAAGAGAATCAAAACGAAAGTGGTAGCTAGGACTGCATAATTCTCAGTTTCAATGTCACACATATAGCGAGATTTTATGATTAGGGCGGGAAATATAAGAATAAGAGACGGCGAATCGTAATTCATGACAGGCACGAAATTTCGGCACCAGTGGACACTCACTTTTGTTTGATACTATGCACGCTTAAAAGGAAGTGATAATTATGTGTATTCTTGTTGATCCACAGGTCCATTTTCCTAGGTTGTTGTTCAGAATATCTCATCAAGTGTCTAGGTAGTTGTACAGCGTTAGAATAATGACAAAGTTAACATCAATCTTTTAACTCAATTAATGTATAATTAGATTTCCCTATTAACACCGAGGCATTTACTTCCAGTTTCTAGGGTTGACTCACTAGCTATGCTACATGGCATTGGCTGTAGCTCTAGTTTGATTTGTGAAAGTATATAATTACGCTGAGGCTCGGATCTAGTATGATGATTGCTCTCGATATCTGTAACAAGGGCTTGAGATCAAGGCTTTGGAAGGATATTTGGATTACAAATAATCCTCCAGGGTGTCAAGGGGCCATGAAGGAGTTAGCCCCTATTCAGCCAGATTTAGCCAGATGGGAGATCTACAGATTATATGTCCGAATAGCCTCGCCTCTCTCTGCTTATTCTGTGCTCGGCTTTGGCCTCGTATTCGCTGTCTCGGTGTACTATATGGAACCATGCTAATACGAGTGAGCTGAAAGCTGAAGCCTCGTACAGACTCTCGCAGTGTCTTGCACTCCTATCACTATGTACATGATATACGGGTCTAGGTCTTAGGCACGTGTGACAATATCGTAGAGATCGGTGTTCCTTGACAGCTATCTACCTGTCTCTATCATCTAGCTAGATACGGTACGCTTCCTTTCTACCGCGGAAAAATATACTACTATTATTGATTTATTGGCAGCAGCAGAATTTTATGACATTTCCTTAAGAAAACCGCGCAGATCCTCTAAGCGACCCTTGTTAATGAAACCGTGTCAAGTTAAATAAACCGGCGCCGCCCGCATCCATGATAATTCGAATTCAGAGCACGCCTAGCGTAGCGGAGTCGCCTTCTACTGGCTGTCCGAAGCCATGGGTAGCTGGACTGTGTTCTTGTTAACCTACCTGCTCGGTGGTGTCACCTTCGTTCCCCTCGTCGTCATCGCAATCCTGCTTCACGCCTACATTTATTAACCTATCTACATATCTTTTATTCCTAGTAAATGTTTGTTATTACGAACAAAATAAATATATTTATTTATTTATTTATTATATATTAAAATATTAAAAACATTTTTATTTAACTAGTAATATAATAATATTATATAATAAATATAACTATATATATTAAGTTTATTTAATGTTAATAAAAAAACATGTTAATCGCATTAACAAGTGCTATTTTATTAAAAGATAACTGCATCAGCCGTGAATCGAACACGGGGCCCATCGATGGCAACGATGGATTTACCACTAAACCACTGATGCCGATATTGATCGATTCACCTGTCGTCAACACTGGGCTCCTCCGGGATTCGAACCCGGGGCCTCTCGCAGATTCTGGATTTTGATTAGACCCAAAGCGAGAATCATACCTCTAGACCAAGGAGCCGCTTTAATGGGAATCGCGGATTTAAAACGGCACCTGAAGTGGATTGTTGGGTCCGTGACGCTAGAGGGAAATTTACGACGGTTAGTATCAAGCTCTGTAGTGGTATTGATGTTGTAGAGGTAATGAAGGTAATTGATTGACATGAGTCACCCCGTGTGGGGTAGTAATCTAAGCACTATCCTATCCTACCTAGGTATCTACTGCATTAACTCGCCGAAGTTACACTAGGTGTTTCGGCGGTCTTGCCCCATCTTTGCGCATGGAACTGTTAGTCAGACTTTTAACCGCATCGACATTGCTGATGTCTTCTGTCCGCTCTCGTACTGTGTAATAAGTCAAATCTGGACAACTGTGTGGCTGATTAAAAGGGAATTCGTGAACCAGGTAGAGATATCAGGGGAAAATGCAACTTACAGAGTTGGAATGATCAGCCTTATGATGAGGATGACATGCTCCGATGCTCAATGTTACTAGGCTAATGTCTCGCCCAACGCTCGGAGAAATGTTGATAATTAGTAAAAGATCCGAGGTAATTGAAAAGGAAAAAGGGTCTAGTATAGTACATCGCACCTGATGAAACAGAGTTGATACGGTAAGGTAAGTGAGCAAAAATATAATAAAACCAGCACTAAGCAAATAACATTTAGGCATGTTGAGAGTTAGTCTTGCAGCTTGGCTTCAAGAGCTGTCCTCAACTCATGACGAAATTCGATGCTGTCAAATACTCTGGATCAATTTCTGGCCACTTGTTTTCTGTCCTAGAGGACCTTGTTTCTTAGAGATTCAACCAATTATAGGTCCCCATAAGGAAGAACCTGAGTCTTGGTTACATCTCGGTAAAGGTGTGAGATGGCTTTCTATTAAGTCTATTCAATATGATGTGTAGTCTAGAGGTCGAAATGATAAGATATGTCACCCACGATTACCAAACAATAGGATAGATAGTATGCCCCCAGCGCATTGAATTGGCAGGGTAGCGAACTTGGGTTACTTTAGCAATCTTAAAATGTGAGTCATCGCCGAAAATTGCTCCTGTTTTTGTATTTCAACTATCACCCAAAGATCTGTCACGGGCTCGGCCTGATTATGATAACATCGGGGTTAAAGGAGTTTGTCGTGGAAATGCCGGTAGACGTTAACCTCTTACATGCTCAGATATCCATGATCTTACTAGGTAGGTATGAAAAGGCTATCATTGCGGTATATTTATCATCCGCAACATCCGATACCTTAGCGAATACGCTTTTCAACACAGGAGAGGACTGATCAATAATGGAAGATTACAAATCGCCCTCGTCTGATCTGGCCGCCCATTGCAGCTAATCGAAGATACGAGTTTCGCTGTCTTGACATTATCGAAACAACCCTTCCACTTTCCCAGTAGATAGGACCGAGTACGGCAGATATACCGGAATCATACCAGATCTTTGGTGAATTATTATAGGCATCTACCGTGAGGGGTCCTCACATACACTGTTCGTCGTACCTTCCGTAATAGGGCCTGTTGCGGGTCCCGTATCGCACAACCATCAACGTCGTCACCTACATACCTAGGTACCTACTTACTCTAATTAATCTGAATGAATGGTGATGAGCACAGTGGGGACCTGATACTATATAAGTTAGATGCTCCGATTAATATTTAAATAAGACGAGGCGCGCTGCTTCCTCAACAACCCCAAAGATTTTAACTTTCCCGTACCTATTTAGTGATACCTGAATTGTTCATTGCTACACTCCTAGTCCCTATAGCACCATGGCACCAAAACGTATTCCCGGACCAGACGTCGACCCTTCTCCCTTGGGTCAACCCCTGCATTTCGATTTCAGTGGCAGGACGGCTCCTAATCGCATCTTGAAGGGGGCAATGACCGAGCGATTGTCATCGTGGGATCCAAAAGACTTACCAAAACGTGGGATTCCGTCAAAGGAGCTCATTAACGTCTATCGGCGGTGGGGAGAGGGTCGCATAGGGTTGATATTAACAGGAAATGTCATGCTATACTACGATCAATTGGAGGCACCGGGTAACCCCATAATCCCGAAAGATGCGCCCCTCTCGGATGAGCGTTTCGAGAGATTCAGGGAACTCGCCGAACAAGCCAAGGCCCATGGCAGTCTTATTGTCGCCCAAGTATCTCATCCGGGCCGGCAGGTCGACGAGTCTGTCCAACCACATCCTATTTCGGCTAGCGATGTTCAGCTCGAGGGGACGGTATTTGGCTCGACGTTCGGCAAGCCGCGAGCTATGGACAAGAATGATATCAAGGATGTAGTTGACAGCTTCGCCTATGCTGCTGAGTACTTGCACAAGGCCGGATATGACGGAATCCAGCTTCATGGTGCCCAGTGAGTGTCTACCTAGGTCACCGTACGCATATGCCATTTTCGACTGACACACTGCAGTGGATATTTAATCGCGCAATTCTTGTCACAAACAACGAACAAGAGAACCGATGAGTACGGCGGCTCGCTACTGAACCGAGCTCGTCTAGCTTCCGAGATTGTAGACGAGATTCGCAAGCGTGTGAATGATGAGTCCTTTATCATTGGTATTAAGCTCAACAGTGTGGAGTTCCAACAGGGAGGCTTCACTCCAGAGGAATGTCGAGATCTCTGCATCGAGCTTGAGAAGCATAGGGTCGACTTCGTTGAACTTTCTGGAGGCACATATCAAGAGGTGGGGTTCAAGTACGCGCGGGAATCTACAAGGAAACGCGAGGCTTTCTTCATCGAATTTGCTGAGATGATCGTTCCGCAACTGAAACATACAAAGGTCTATGTCACTGGTGGACTTCGTACAGCAGCTGCGATGGTTGAGGCAGCCAAAACGGTCCATGGTATCGGTTTGGCTCGACCGGTCGCGCAAGAGTTTGACTTTGCTAAGAAATTGCTGGAGGGTAAGGTCAAAGGTGCTATCGATTACGGAATTGATGAGCAGGACTTCGGCCTCAGTAACGTTGCCGCGGGTACCCAGTAAGTGCCTTCCTTTTTCTGTCACGAATTTCCTGGTCCCAGGGGGATTTGTTCGAGTTGCTTGATACACAGAAGCTAACCTTGGTGCTTCGTATCAGGATACGTCTAGTGGGCAAAGATAAGGAGCCGCTTGATCTGGGCAGGCCAGAACATAAGGAGGCCTTCTATAAGGCTTTGCAGCAGTTCCAAGAAGATATGGCGAACAATGCGGACGGGTCAAAGTACGGGTTCATGGACATTGATGGCGTTAAACTCGAGCCGTATGGCACACCGTATGGAGTGGCGTCGAATTAAGTAAAAAGAACATAGACTGAGACTTTCTAGAGAATTTCTAGCGTTTGGTAGAAGAATGATAGAGCTGCTGAGATTAGCAAAGTGAAGGATCTGATATAGGATTTGTTAGTGAACTAATGAACGGTCACGTCCAATACTCATGAATGATACCGCACTCCGCGTTCCATCCATCCATGACTCGATAACATCGAAAAGCTTTTCTTGCTCGATCAATTGGTATTTGGCATTGTTGCTGTCATTCTCGCTGCCGAATACCGTGTTGTCCGCAATAAGGGACGATACAATAGTAGTTGCAACTTTGGCTAGACTGCCCTCATCACGTACAGCGATGATTTGACTTGTCATCTGGGGAACACATACTGTACCACGCCACCGAGTAGGTTAGGAATCTTTTGAAATGTCCTCCCAAGAGGCAGCCCTTTTACGGCTTCTAATTGTAGAGTTGAAATGTGCTCGTATGAATTGAACTGATTGTTATATAGCTGTCGCGTGGGTTGAGATAGTTGCATTAGGTAATAAATGTGAGAGGAATGGGACGGAAGCTGCCCAGGTGGGTAGATCTTGACGGACCGATATTGAGCCGACTAGCCGCCCCATAGGGCCCCTCCAGCAAATCCTGAAGCGGTCCCTCTTTCCTCTTTTCAACAAGGCTTAAATAGAAGGATCTGCCCAGCTCTCGACACAGAATTTCTAGAGCTTTCGGCGGCATCACGCTTTCAAACAACAAAAGGGTCAGTTGGATTGTCAGCCCCCCATGCCGACCATTCCTTCACCACCACCATCTTTTGCCTCCCGCGCTCACCGGATGATAACCGAGTAGCTCCCTCGTCTCACCTCGTCCCGTCCATCTGTCATTCATTGCATTGGTACGTATGTTCTTGTTGATTCTTTGTCTTGCTGTCTTGTCTTGCTGCCTTGTCTTGCTTTTCTGAATGGCATTCTCGACTCTGGCATGTGGGTAGACCGTGCCTCGGATGCTCTCCCACCTCCCCGAGCTTGCTGCCGCTTTCCTATTGTAGCGTTTCTCCTGATGATCACACCAGCTGGCACCAGTCATAGAGCGACTTGTACTCCCTTTCATTGATGACTAATATGCTGAGGTCCTTCGAGGCCGTTATCTGATTTCAAACGCTTGTCCCGTTCCGTCTCACCTTGCCTAATTGGCACGACCTAGTACGTGTTGACAATTGCTAACACGGACACTCGCTTTCCAGCATCTTCTCCAGATACTTCTTGCCGAATATCGCTGCTGCCGCTTGTGTCACAATGGCCCTCCACAACCCCAACAACTGGCATTGGGTTAGCAAGAATACCTCCCAGTGGGCGCAAGGCTGGTTTCAGGAGAACCTGACCCAGCTCTCAGCTCAAGATGGGGATGTTACAGCCAAGATCAGCAAGGTGATCAGCATGGACGGTGACGTGGATGTCAGTCAACGAAAGGGAAAGGTCATTACCATCTTCGATGTGAAGCTTGTACTTGAGTATTCAGGTACGCTCTGATCCACTACCACCTGTTTCCTGGGGACCTCGTCTCTGACCGCTTGTAGGATCTGCACCCGAGGCAGAGCAGGTGTCGGGAACCATCACCGTACCTGAAGTCGCTCACGATACAGAGGAGGACGAGTTTGTCGTACGTATTGGGTACTACCTATGATATCAACTCGCATACTAAAACGAAATAGTTTGATATCGATATTCATTCCGAGTCGAAGGAGAAGCAGCCCGTCAAA